AAAGAGCCTTTTCATTACAAAAGGTATGGAAACAACCCTTTACAACTCCTGAATTCAATTTTTTTTATAATTTAAACTAAGAGAAAGTAGTATAGAATCGAAGGTTAAGGTTGTATAAAACTTACCAGGTAAGTGACAGGTCAAAAATATCTCCCAAGAAGCCATAACTTATTACCCTAGTAGATGAACCCTTCTTCTCTACTCTCTCGTGCTCCCTTTTTTCTTTTCTCCTCTCTCTTCATGTTTGATCCACAAAATTTAAAGTCAAAATTCTATGCCACACATCGCAATACATGTAGCTTTTGCTATAGAGTGTGACACAATGATGGAAATTTTACTGTGCTCGCATGCTTCACTTCGGATTGTCGTTCTTCTACTCGATCTTATGAATTCAACATCCCAAGAAGTCAAAACCTCAACTTGCTATCTAAAATCTTGATTACTTAATTAATTCACTAATTTTGCAAATTTATCCTTAAATTAATAACTAGTTTTCCCTAGATTAAAATTTCAAGATGTTACAAAATACCTTTAAAATTGTCTTATAATATAAGAGGAAGGCATATAATGGATTTAGTTCAATGTGTAGCATCATGAAAATTTATATTCGGATTAAGTAAAATAAAGTAAAGTACAATGGTTAAGTTAATTAATGAGGTGTATGGTCAGAGAGGTCTAATAAGTGTGCTCGATAGTGATTTCAACCCTAAACAAGGGTTTGAAATAAAGCCAACCCACGTGGGCATCAAACAGGGAGAAAAGCTAAAGAGGGAGCCTCTGTGCTACATGTTGCAGTGTGTTACACATCCGCCATAGTGCACAGGTGGCAACCAGAGAGAAGAGACTTCTTTATGCCATAAGCCATGATGGATGGTGTGTGTGCCATAGTGTATAGTCAAATTTTTCTAATAAGTGCCTCACGAAACATATTGAAACTAAAGGAGAAATGAAGAGCATGCAAATTGCTCTACTAAGACATGAATTTGAAGACTCTTGGAGATATTGTAAATCTTTCTAACACCAAAGGTAAGGTATTAAACTTTTCTTTTTTCCTTTTCTTCCATTTTCATGAAGATTAAAGTTAGGATTTGAGAGTTGAAAAAATGATTTTTAGTCTATATGAATTACGGGTCAAAACCTATTGGCTAAAATAGAGTTAATGGGAGTTGTTTAGATTATCTAAACCTAGTAATGATGGTTTTACACCCTCTTGGTTGGTAAATGTCATTAAAATTTGAAAATAGCATTTATGTAGGTGGTTGGATGATTAGGATACCATTAATGGAGGTTTAATAGCTCACTAATGGTAATGTGAGCTAAGGAAATCTAATAGACTTAATGGGTATGTTGAAAAATGGAAGATGCATTATTTTTGTGTTTGAGATGTGGAGTTAGAATGTTGAAAAATTATTTAAATAAGGGTATTAATAATTATCCTTGCGATTGAATTATAAATTAACTAATTTTGGTATCATTCAAGCTTGATAAAATCTTTAAGAAATTTGTGTTTTGAGAGATAAATCTTCAATTTTTTAAAGGTTTGAAATAATTGAAGGAAATTTAGTTTATACTCTTGTGTGTTAATTAATCATGTTTGAAATATTGTTTTGAAACTCATTAAATGTTGGTAAACTTGGGTTTAATGCAAATTTGGCAATGAGAGCGATCATGTGATGTCCAAGTATGTGTGTGGTTTGATGTGAATTAAAAGTAAAGTTATACATATATGTTTGATGATAGAGTGGAACATACTTATTTTCTAAAAATGAATCTCATAAGTTATTTGGCATGCTGAGAAATGAGGAGTATAATGGAGTCAAATTTGTGATGGATAAGATATGATGTGATGTGATGTGAGTAAATATATGTGCATATTATATTGACATGTGCATAGTATGATCATTAAAACGGGAGTTCGCCTATAGGGAGAGAAGTAAATTAGTAAATCCACATGATAATAAAGGCTTATCATTAGAATCAGCAGCTAGCCTCGGTACTGACTATTAGAATCGAGAGGTAGCCATTATCCCATAGTTATTTAGGGACTGTTCCATTTGTTGTTTAAGGGATTCGAACCTAACTAATCTTCATCAGATCATGAGAATGCTAGCTTAAGGGTATGACACCTCATGATTGTTAGTATTGGGAAAAATCATGGATCACGGTAAGTGGGTTCGCCCTGGCCTAGCAGCTCCTCATGAGTGAAAGGATGGTTTAGTTTAAGTTGTGAATGTAACCACTTAATAGCCACAGGTTTCATGTCAGAGGTATTAGGAGGGTATAAGTTGGCATTAATCATGCATTTATATTTCTGGCCACATGGTTGTTTATTATGGTCTGAGGTGTCTTTCATTAGAGGCACATAGTTGTTATTATTATGATTGCAAGATATGCATTTTTGAAATAGATTTGATGACATATGTTGCATATCTAGTCACATAGTTGTTATTTTTGTGGCCGAGGCTATATTTGAAATATGTTTATGTGATGATTGTGAGATGATTGCCATTTTCATTTGTAATTAATTGACATGGAACTGTATAGACTAGATTAACCTTAGTTATTAAGTGGTCGTACTCACCTCTCATTCTTTAATATTATAGGGCCTAGCTCAGCGAATCAGGATAAGAGAAAATGACCAGAGGCATAAGATTATGAGTAAATCTTACTTGCAGGCCCCTTATTTTAAATGATGTGTATTTGAACATTGTTAATTTGCCAGCTACAATCTCACGTGATTCTTTTGGCTACTTGTGCTATGGTGTTAATGGTTTGAATATATTTTATACCCTGAGTTTGTTTATGATAGGATTGTAAACTTTGATTAGTGCCAAAATACTAGTGCAAATAAGGTTGTATAGTTGGTTGAATGTGATGAATGAAATTGATGATTATTTTGTAAAATTTAGATGAAATTACTCCCCTTTATGTTTTTATTAATCAAGGGCTTAAGTGTTGAAATTTCAATATACATGTTTTTGGTTGAATGTGGTGTGTTACATGAGTCTATGATGGTACATTGAATGTGTTTTAAGGGTTGGTGTAGGCTTTTGGAACTTGTGTTATAGTTTGGGCACTCTAGTTGTATGTTTATGTGAACAAAGAGAGAGTTGGATAAAGAATGTTCAACTTTTAATAGAAAAAAAAAAGATTTGATTGTGAAATTAGTGCCATTAGTTATAGCTAAAGAAAAACTTTCTATGGACTCTTAGATCATCTTGATCGGATGTTGGACTGAGATTTGAGGCACATCAAAAATTTGCCTTAGATGTTGTCATATGATAGCAAAATGCTGTCAAATTTGTGTAATGCATCACGACGCATGGTATAATAGCTACAAGCCTTGGCATATTGTCAGTATGTCGCAGCGCATGTGTAATTTTTATTGAAAATTAATGTCTCCCCACTTCTTTTACAAATGCATTAATTTATTTTAGATTTCATACTTTTACATAGGTCTTAAACTCTGATTTGGGAATTATAGATGAGTATGGGAGCATTTTAAAATTTTTTGAAAACTTGAGATTCTCATTTGTATAATTTTACAAACTTGATAATCTAATTAGATTAGTTCCATGATTACCTTAGTTTTGGAGTTAACTGAGATTAAGAGCAGTATTACACGGTGACTATATTTAGTGTAGGCATTGAGTACTTATATCATCTAAATTATTAAAATTTAAATTAATGAATCAAAATTTATAATCTACTTTAAAATTAATAAATAAATAAGTTTATTTAAATCGTTAATTTGAATTTTAACTGTTTAGATAATATAAGCAATCAGTGCTTATAGCCACTGAATCTAAAGTTGGCATATAATATTTTCTCTATTTTAAATTATAAAATACTTTAAAAAAATTTAATATACTAATAAATTTTATTAAATAATACACTCAATAATTTTATTTTTGAAAAACCAAAAGTATAAATATTAAATTGTACTCATTATTTAATATATTAAATAGAGAGATGTAAAAATTAAAGAGAAAGAGAAATTATAGTGTTGAAATAAATTTATTTAATAAACTATTAATCTTTTTAAATATTTTATATTTTAAAATATTAAATTTTTTTAAAATATTTTATAAAAGGGTGGGGACAACGTTACTCCCTCATTGAGTGCTGGTTTGTCCCACGCACTCAAGACGCGCGTGCACTCCATGTGCTCCCCTCCCGATCAAAATATCTTGGCCCCCAAACCCGACGTGTACTAAAAGATCATTGAAAAAACACAAGCCACATGGACCCAACCTCGTGACTCTTTTCTATCATCATGCCCCCTCTCAGATTGGAGCCGAAAATAAGAATTGGGTGGGTCACTACTCACTAAGTCGTCCATCTATGTTCATTTTTATAAAGACACACACTTGAAAAATTAATATCTCTTTTATTAAAAAATATAAAATATTTTTAATTAAATCTCACTTTTAATAAAATAATTATTTATTTTTTAATTAATTCTATCTTTTTATATTTATCTTTATTAAATACCCTATAATAAATATAAAGTTATTATTAATAAGAGCACTTTTGAAAAAAAATAATAATTACACCTCAAAAGACGCAAAATATCTTATATTTTTAACATTTGACTCCTCCAAAAATATATTATATTTTTAAAAGAAGAGAGTAATTTTTAAGAAAAGTATATTTTCAGACCTGTTTTTATTATATTTTTAATTTTTAAGTTAAATTTTAAAATACGCATTTATATTTTGAAGTTAGATTTTTATTATTTTTAAAATTTTTAAATATTATAATTTATATTTTAAAAAACATAAAATATTATAATTAAAATTTTAAATTTTTAAAATTAAAAAAATAATAATAAAAAAGGACTTACGGCTCAACTCTAAACTTTATGAACAAGAGTTAAATTTTAAAAATTAATCAATTTTTTTGTAATAAAAATAATTCATTGTAAATTTACTTAATTGAAGGCTTGAGTTCATACGAAGACAGGTTTTTATGGACTCAAACGCTCCCGTCCCTCTAGCTCTCCTCCCCATAAATGCCACGCTATCCCCAACTTTTGTTACTGTACATGCGTCCTTTCATATATTACTGTGCTCCTTCGTCTCCCGAAAACAAAGCGTCCATTCCCTCGCCTCGCACAACAACGGACTCTGATTCAGTAAACAGTCACTACTCTGAGTCTCTGACAAACCCAACTCTCTCTCTCTGTCTGCGTGCTTGGCTTCAGCTTTAGGTTTTGCTTCGCCGTTAATGGGATGGAGCAGAACGACGTGATTCCACCCTTCGTTATAAAGACTTTCCATATGGTCAGCGATCCCGCCACCGATGCTCTCATCACTTGGGGTCCAGCCAACAATAGCTTCATCGTCGTCGATCCTCTGGATTTCTCCCAGACGATCCTACCTGTATATTTCAAGCACAACAACTTCTCCAGCTTCGTTCGTCAGCTAAACACCTACGTGAGAGCCCTGATCATCCTCCCATCTATTTTTCATTCTTTTCATCAGATTGTTTTTAACTGATTTACAGTTTAATTCAAGAAGTTCCTGCCGATTGATTCTGTTTTTGTTGATTTGTGTGATGGATTAGGGGTTTAGAAAAGTGGATCCAGATCGATGGGAATTCGCGAACGAGTGGTTCCTTCGGGGGCAGAAGCACTTGTTGAAGAATATCGTGAGGAGGAAACAAAGTAGGATCAGTAGCTCTCATGACGAGGTGGACGACGACGCGTTGATGACGGAGATAGCGAGGTTGAAGGAAGAGCAGAAATCGTTGGAGGAAGAGCTTCAAGGGATGAATAAGAGGTTGGAGACAACAGAGAAACGACCCCAACAAATGATGGCGTTTCTGTGCAAAGTCGTGGAGGACCCAGACGTCCTCTCTCGTATTTTGCTAGAGAAGGAGCAGAAGCAACTGACAGAGAAGAAGCGGCGGCTGATGACATCATCGCCGTCGTCTTCGTCCGGTATGGCGTCGGCGGTGAAGACCGAATTTGAGGAAGAGGATGCTGCTTTGGGTGCGATAATATCTTCGCCGTCGCCGGAAACGACTACTGGACTTGAGTTTGGTCGTTATAACAGTCAGGCATCGCCAATGGAGGAAACAATAATCAACGGCCCCGATACAACATCGGGTTGGTGGAGCGAGAGAAACGACACTATAATGGGGAGGCCTCGGATAAATCAATTACAAGCTCATAATTATTGCAACTCTGGGTTAAGCCCGTTGACGGCGGTTGTGGCGGCGAGAATGGATGAGAAAGCGGCGATGTCGATGTCGGCGCGTGAGGGAGAAAGCAACTCGGCGAGCGAGGGGCAAACGAGCTACTATTTTACAGAAATGGCGGTGGAGAGCAGTTCACGGCCAACTTATCCATTTTCGCTGTTGGAAGGTGGCTTCTAGCTCATCGTGTTGGCTTCAGCTTCACAACGATTATCTTTTTAATTTTTTGGGGACAATACACAGTGATTTATCTTTGATTTCGCCATTTGTGCTAAATTCTGATTCTATGTTCTCTTGTTTACTTCTTGATATTTTCATGCGTTTTATCTCCTTGCATAAATCAGTTTTTTTTTTTTTTTTGTTTTTTGGGCCAACCTTTGCATAAATCAGTTTGAGGGAAGGAAAACAAATATATATATTTATATATATAAGCACACCATATCACTCCCTTCATTTTAAATTATAAAATATTTTTAAATAAAATTTTACATATTAATAAATTTTATTAAATATATTTAATAATTTTATATTTTTAAAATAAAAATATAAACTTTTAAAAATAATTATAATTTAATATATTAAAAAAATGGGTAAAAATTAATTATAAAAAGAGAAAAAATGATATTAAAATTGATGTATTTAATAAAATATTAATGTATATAAAATATTTTATATTTTAAAATAATTTTTTTTAAAATATTATATAATTTAAGACGAAAGAAATATTTAGTCTTAACGTTCTCCCCATATTCATCCATTTCCCCCACTGATTTATATGGTCCCAAAATTTTAGCAAAACAATAAATATTATTTATTAAATATATATTATTTTAATTTTATTTATCAATTATTTTCATCATGTTTCACTAGAAAAGAAAAATTTTAAAATTTATTAAATTGTGTTTAAAAATTTATCAATTTGCCAGCTTTGTATTTATTAGATATACATATTTTAATAATATATTTTTTTCTTCAACATTTAATAGAGAACAAATGAAAAAAATTTTGATAAAAATTTTATGAGATGATTGATAAATAAAAAAACAATATTCTCTATCTACATTATTAATAAGATAAGAGGAAATGTATTTTTTTATCTTTTCCATTTTTTTATTAATAAAAAAAAGATACGTGCAAATGAATGCATTGAGTTAAAAAATGGAGAGATCCATTGTTAAAAAATTCGATGGTATATATCCTTGTATGAAAAAAAAACCTTAGATATTTAATTTTATAATTTAATATATTTGTTTTCAATTCAATATACGTGGATCTTGTATAGATTACTTATCATATAATAAATTCTTATTATTAATTTTATTAATACATTAAGATTTACATGTCATTATTTGATTGGATATAAATATATTGAGTATAAAAAGTTAAATATATACTTTTTTCATTAAAAAATATGAGTCATTTTTAACCGAATGTCACTCCAAATAAAATAGTTACTTTTTTTTAAATTAACATTATTTTTTCATATTTATCCCTATTTAATATGATGTTTCACTCTAAAATAAATATAAAGTGATTTATTTATTAGAGATATTTTTTAAAAAAAAAGATAAATATTACATCTTGCAATATTAAAAATATCTTATATTTTTAAATATATAACTTCTCAAAAAATTATTTATATTTTTAAATGAAGGGAGTAATTTACCTTATAAAAATAAAACTGGCTAGCATAGTTCAGCTAGTGGGTGGTATAGAAAAATAAAAAATTATATATAAGCCTCCTGCAAAAAATTTAATTATCACAAAATTTATTAAAAATTGAATTAATATTGTCAATAATCTTAATTTAATTGTTAATAAATTTTATAATAATTAACTTTTTTGTGTGAGATTTACTGTAATTCTTCTTAAAATAAGTAGTGCTATAGAAGAATAACAACGTGCTGAGTGATGATGGCATGCTTATACAAGGCAGACACAACATACTATGATATGTTCCCCTCTAACTCAACTCTCTATCTTTGACCCAAAAAAAAAAAAAAACTCAACCCTCTATCGTGATATTTATTCATAGTTATTTTATTTTCACAAATATAACAGTTTATTTAATTTTGAATGTTTAATTCATGATATTTAAAAAAAATCATAATTTTAAATATTTATTTAAAACAGACATATTTTCTCGAACATTGTTAAAAACAAAAAAAACAAAAATTGCAATTTTCATGGGCTACTTTTTAATTTTATTATGAAATGATATATTAATCACTCTCTCTGTTAAAAAATATAAAGTATTTTTTAAAAGGCTGAATATTACAAAATATAAAGTATTTTTAGTATTTCAAGATATAGTCACTGTCTTTTTTTTTAAGTGTCCCTAATGAATAATTCATTATATATTTATTTTAGAGTGAAATACCTTATTAAATAGGTGTATCTATAAAAAGATAATGATAATTTGAAGACAAATAACTATTTTATTAAGAGATAAGATTTAATTAAAAATGTCTTATATTTTTTAATAGAAGGAGTATTTTGTAGCCTTGGAATATTTGATTGCAATTTTTTTTTTTTTACCGGATCAACTATCTGAGTGCAATTAATTGCTATATAATACTCTTTATCATCAATAGATAAGAGATTTTAGTGAGTCAGCTTTTGATTCTAAATGTAAAAGACTAAGGTCCCATTTAGATGCTAAAAATGATAAAAATGGAATATATTAAAAAATAAAAATGAAAATAAATTAAGTTATCATTTCCTCCTTCATAGTAAGTAAGATAAAACTTAATATTATACATCACAAATGTGAGAATTATCATATTTTTAAAAATATCATGAATGGTGACTTCCTATTCTATGAATTAAATTACCCTTTTTCCTTATAAATATGTTTCACTTATATTCTTTTTAACATTTTGACTATCTTATTTTTATTTTTATTTTTATTTTTTCAATCTATTTCATTCATTCTTTTTTTAAGCAATTCTTAACCAAATTATAGATATCCACCCCACTTATCAAAGAGTTGCTGTCATGTCAAAAGCAAATTGGCTTCATCAATGTCGTAAAGCTTATAAATTAATTGGATGTAGTTTTTTTAAAAAAATTACATTTTATGGCATACTAAATTAGATGAAGAGTAAATGCTTTTGAATTAATTTTCTTAGTCTTCATGAATTAATTACTTTTTTTTATATAAAGCACCTAGAATATAAAGTCATGCAAAATTTATGATTCATTTCTATGTAATTTTAGAGAAGATGGAGTATGTTTTATTTATTTATTTTATTTTAATTTCTTTTCCTGCACAAAAGACCCAAAATGTAGGAAGGAGCGAGCACAGCACCCTTGTCAAAAGAGGCTCCTATTGGTTGAAGCTGGGAAGATGACGATGGACCCACGTCACAAATCGATCATGCGGGACCCATCTGCGCATTAAAAGACTACTTGAGCTCTCTTTCTCTCCCGCCACCTCCCTCTCTCTGAGAGGTCAACGAGCGTATCATCACAGTCAGCAATCGATTGTGAAACAAATCCAATGAATCTACTCACACACAAGTTCGTATTTTTAATATAAGATAAATTTAATTACCTTTCTGTTTATTAAAATTACTCTCACTAATTTTATTTATAAATTATTTTTATCAATCTCATTAATATTAATATAATAAAAATATAAAAAATAAAAATAAATAAAATTTTTAATATAATTTTAAAGTAAAAAGTAAAAAATAAATAATATAATATTCTTTCTTTTATTTTTCTTTCTTTTATCTTTTAAAAGTAGTTTGAAAATTTTAATTTAAAATAAAACAGTCCCATCAATTAGTGATTTATAAAGTGAATTAAATTATGCTTCTAAAAGATGACTAATATGCAAGAACGGATGAGTAATAATTATTTTTTTAAATTTTTTTTGAAATATAATTTTTTAATGATTAGTATGCAATTTGAAATTTGAACTATAAATTTAAGGATAATTTGAACCATATATTGATAACTGATATATTTTAAATCTTAAATAATTAAATTTGATGCATTGTCACCCCCATAATGAAACTAATGGTGGTTACTTTTTAAACAGAGTGGGGCTCATATTCTCTATTTGTCGTATGTTTAAAAAGTAACGGCCATTAACTTCAAATTAATAATAGGGGTGAAGATGCTTCAATTTTAATTGTTTAAATTTTAAAATATATAAATTAATATTATAGAGGTCAAATCACCTCTAAACCTATTGTTCATGATCAAAATTACATATTACCTCTTTTTTAATTTTTCTCTTCTTTATAATTGATACTATTATAAATTATTATCTAGGTATTAAAATGATAATAAATAAATAAAATATAAAAATAATAATATTAATTATTCTAACATTTTTTGTTTTGAAGGCCAAAAAAATTATATTAAAGACTGAAGGGAGTACACGATGATATATGGAAAACTTATGAAGATCCATAGATCACTATTAAAGTTTTTTTCTAACATAATTTTTTTTAATTGGTTTCATACTTTTTTGTGAACAATGGGGAATGCTCTTGAAAGGATTATGATGATTGTTGAAGTCTCTAAAAATATTTCAGAGATTGGTTGGAGAAAACGTTTTGCAAATACTTTCAATGGTATTTAATATTTCTTCAAGAAATTACAATTTATCTTCAACAACTTGACATACTCTTAAAAGAATTTTGAAGACCTGAAAATTGTTGAAAGGGAAAAAAAAAAAGACTCTTCGACATATCTTTAATGATCTTCAATTCTTCTGAGAGTGTGAAACAACTTTTCAATTTTTTTTTTCACTTGATCTGTTCAAATATTCAATATTCGAATAATTTTGTAAATGTTTGAAAATTTTAGTAAACTTTTTATAATATTTAGTATCCTATTTAAAAAAATTATATCTCTTAAAGAAAATATTTGAATAAAAATGTCATGTTTTTATATTTTTTTTCCAAACTAAGGAACAGCCTCAAATTTACATTTTCATGTTTCACTAGAAAGTAATTTAGTCTTTGTATATTTAAATATAATTTTTTCAAGAACCATGATCGGTTAAAATGTTTACTTAATTTCATATACAAAAAATGTTTACTTAATTCAAAAGAGGGGCTTTTGAGAAAATATTTTTGTCTGTTGGCCCTTTTGAAAACTTTTCCCAGAATTCGACCTTTTAGGTGGGGACCATGCCGTACACGTGTCGATGGCCCAAGCCATCACGAGGGACAATGGTGCTCTGTCACACACACCCCCAAGGCATGGTCGACGATCACGGATAATAGGGCATGTGGGTCCCGCCACACCCCAGACCTCCAGCTCACAGCCACGTGATTCTTTTCTGT